CTAAAAACACCCCCGATCCCCGATTGTCCCAGGTTTCCCCTACTACATCCATCAAAGTTTAATTTCAAGAATCCACTAGGTGGGGAGTCCTTTACCTATTCTCCTCTTCATCCATTTTCTTTGCAAACATGACAGCTTCACTTATTGGCTCCATCCTGTTCCCTTCAATTGCAAACAACCTTCCAAATTCTTCCTTTATTCTGAGTTGGCAAGTCATTGAGATCTTGCACACTCTTTTCTTTCTTTCTTTCTTTCTTTGTCTCACATGGTCTCTGCAAGATAAACTTCTGCGGTGAAAAGTTAAGATCACTGGTCATCTATCTGTTGAGAGTTGAATCCAGAATTTTGGTTCTTGTCATCAAAGAGGAATATGCCTTTTTCACTCAGTTTATACAGTCAGCCTTTGTCCCCCCCCGCTTGGTTGGGGTCTCCATCATACAGAACCCATTTAGTTTGAGAAGTCCTCTTATTTGTATTTGTTGTCTCTGGTCATATGCATGTTTCGTCAAAGAGAAACTAAAATTTGTTGCCTCCACAGGTCTCATACAAGATGTATTCCAAAAGTGCTCAGATCCGCCTTGTGAGCAGCCATCCTGAAGTTTATGAGCCCTGTGATGATTCTTTTGCACTGGTTGATGCACTACTAGCTGATCGAACTAACCTGTTAGAGCATCATCCATCATTATGCATGGAAGTGGGTTGTGGCAGTGGGTATGTTATCACATCTCTGGCTATCATGCTTGGGCAAGAAGTTGCCGGTGTCCACTATATTGCTACTGATATCAACCCACATGCTGTGCAAGTGACTAGTGAGACACTGAAGGCACATGGAGTGCATGCAGAGGTGATATCTACTGATATTGCATCTGGTTTAGAAAGGCGACTGTCAGGGATTGTGGATGTAATGGTTGTGAACCCACCTTATGTACCGACACCTGAGGATGAGGTTGGTCGAGATGGAATTACTTCTGCTTGGGCAGGAGGAGAGAATGGGCGGAGGGTTATTGATAGGATCCTACCCATTGCAGACAAGCTTTTATCAGATAGGGGCTGGTTGTACATGGTAATGCTAGCAGCAAATAACCCCTCACAGATATGCCTTGCTATGAGGGAGAAAGGCTATGCTTCTCGGATAATTGTACAGAGGTCAACAGAAGAAGAGAGCCTCCATGTTGTGAAGTTCTGGCGGGATTCTGATATTCAAGTGGGAGCAAGGGAGCCAACAACAACAAGCAGAACAACTTCCACAACAGTAATGGAATCTCTATTTTCGCAATTTCCTCGCTTGGCTTTCTGGAGGAATGACAACAACAGCTACTAAATGTGGAGGAAGGAGTCATTCTTCATTCCTCGTATTATTGGATGCACGAGTAAATTTCAATCTGTTATGTTTGGTGGGAAGAATGATATTGACAAATATTACCTCAGAGCACTACTGAAGACCAGCATTCTTTCAAAATTCTCTTGCTAAAGGTGAAGAATGCATCTCTGTAATTGGTACTATGTGCTCTATTGTGTTCATACCTGAATTGTTCATGTTACATCATTAGTGAACCATAGCCCAAAAATCTTACTAATTCTCTCAGCTTGATCAAGGGCCACAGGAGACCTTTGGATAAGAACTTTGCCTGATAAGGTTATCTTAACCATTTGATATATTGACGTTTTAAGCCTTTCTACACTGCCACTACTATCTTCCTTTGGCTGCCAATTGATCCCTACTGTTTAGTTTATTGACATCATTATGTTTCTCGTTGTCTTGCCTATCTAGAAATTTAAATAGTTAATTTCAGAAACTAGCAGTTGTACTGGAAAATTGATATTAGGAACTGTTACTTATTACCAGCAACGTAGCAAGTAATGCCCACTGTTTCTTGGTCTTTCATGCTTGAGGTAGCGGACCAAACGCTTATGACTTTTTTTTTTCTATTTAATTTAAAAGTTCCACAAGTCTATATTTGGTTTGATAGGAAATATAGAGAAACACAGTTGAGGGAAGTACTTAATAAATTTTGTTTGACTTTCTATTTTTCTCTTATTCTGTCGAAGAATTCACACCCTAAAATGTCACTTGCAACTAATAAGTTTCACCCTACAAATTTCTCAATTGTGTTAGAAGTTTGAACTAGAGAATAGGAAAGACATGTACCGGAAAATTTATAACTAATCAACTAATAAGTTTCACCCTTCCGGTATCGTACCTTCGGCATCATAAATTTTCCGTATGAAATAATGGGTCAGAAGACTCAACTCAGAAATCAGAAACTCGCATAATCACCTTTCCGGTATCGTAGACAGGTAAGCCAATGTGTTGTCCACAGGATGGGGAAAATCTTAGCCATCCATGTTTCATAGTCTGTCAACAGGGTTCTCCCTGCGTGACATGGTTCACCAAACAATTGGGCGTGGTGTTGTCCATAGGGTGGGGAATGCCACCTCAATATCTCGTGGTCTCGAGCACACCACGCCCAATTTCTTGATCACAAGTATATCTCGTGGTGTCAACACGCTACAGGGATTATACTCCCATAATCCATCTCAATGATGACATCACCATTTTTGGTATTATTATCAGGAGATGTTCTCAATACATGGCGAGAATGTACCGTGAGACATTGTGGGGGGGTTGATTTGATCTCTCCATTGCTGTTGTTCTTTTTCTCCCCACTGCTCTTAGTCAGATGAGGGCCTTCTGTTACCATTCTCTGTTTCTCTTTCTGGCCTCCATAGTTATTTTCTTGGGTAAATTACACAGATCCCCTTGTACTATGGGGTCTGTGACAAAGACCCCTTGCACTTTTTTTTTGCAACAAAAACCCCTGAACTTTGGCTGTTAGACAAAGACCCCGTCCAAACTTTGAAAAAATATTATCATATGACTATTTAAAATTTTCTAATTATCCAAACTACCCTTCTCTCACTCTTAAAATACCACACATGACAACTCCAATATCACACATGACAACTCCAATCCCTACAGCAGGGACGGAAACTCCAGACGCCCAACTTCTTAAACATACAAATCCTGATTGAGAGAAAATCATAATATCTTCTCTGTCACCATCTGTATCACTAATTGAGACATAGACTGATATCAGAAATTGGGTCCCGTTCTTGTTATTATTTGTTTGTTATAACATCAGGCAATTCAGTTTTGACACCAGCACTCCCTTCTCCCTCTCCTCTCAGAATGAATACCACTTCTTCAATTTTAGTGAGGATATGTGCTCATTGACCCAAGCCCAGCTTCTGCGAATGGTTCCTGAGCATTGTGACTCATCCTGTGGTAGTGCTAGTTATATCTGCCGTCACTTACCTGACTGCCCAGCTGCTTATTGGCAGGTGGCAGCCATGGTCCCCATAAATTAAATACTGTGAGAAAAAAAAAGAAGGATTCGATGATAGGTGAGAGAACAGTCAACTGGGGGATGTTTGGAACTGTGGCCGTTTTTCAAAAAAATGGTGTCACGTTGGATCTATATAGGCATTTCAATAAATGCCCATGTATCTTATTGTTTGGTTCAGCTGATTATTAAAAAATCGGACATACTTCGAAAATCGGGACCCCAATTCATGCATCAGTGAACCATTTCCCCCAACGGTTGACTGATGTGTATCCTATGTGGTGCTTACCTGTCAGCACATACATGAAAAAGGGTGATAAAAATCACCTTACCAAACAGCATAGTATTGCTCACGGGCGGAAGCATTTTTTTTGGTGAAAAACGGGTCATGAAAGTATGAATGTTTTTTCTTAAAAATCGGTCCCACAAAACGCCCACACTTCCAAACACGATGCAAGTAAGCAACAATCAAAGTCGTAATTAAAATTCTGCTCCTCTGCAAACTAGACAAGATTTTCATCTAGAATCAAACCTAACAGCTCATTCCAGCAACCCTCAAGCACCACCCACCCTAATACAATTTGGAATTTGGAAGACAATCAAGAGATGAATAGATTAGATAGAATGAGTGGGCAGAAATGTAAACTTGAATTGCTTGATTTCCCAATGCATCTCTCTGTCACAGGTTTATACTATCCCAATGCCGTCACTTACCAATTCCGGTGACCACCCGTTGCCTTCGGTAGTACCATGATAATTGATAAATGCAAGGGAGGAAGGACATGCGGATTTGATACTGGGAAACATAGTTTCTTGTGCCTATGTGAGTAAGGAAATGTAACCACTTTCTGTTCAGGTATGCTAATATGACTATTGATTTAATGCTGAACCTCTGTAACAAGCCCCCAACCAAACGATCTGACCATCAAAATTGTTGTTTTCTTCAGTCAGATGAGATTTTTTTTTTTTTTTTTCAAACTGACAGAACCTTTGATCTAAGCACCAATGAAGGCAGTTTTAGGGTCGCTAGTCTTACAAGCTGATCTCCCCCTTGAAAGCAGCTTAGGTTCTATCCAGTTTTGCGTCAGCTAATACTGGAGCTTCACAAGTCGTTTCTGCCTGCCTGAGACGTGCTTCCGCTTCAACGAGCCTTCTGGTTCCACAGGGAACTGAAAACTGGATGATCCGAGCCCAAACGCTGGAAAAGATGCTTGGAAACAATAGAGAAGGAAGATGGAGAAAGAAACAGTCGCTTGAAAGTACAAATGAAGCCTTGGGTCGAATTGTGTTTTGTTTGATTGTGTTTCATCCCTGAACAAATCTCCAAGTCTGTTGGATAACGTCTAACAAGCATCAAAGCTCTGTGTTTAATCCCTGAACAAAGCTCCAACGGACAGGATTTTGTTTGCTTTAACCATTCCAACAGACGTTATATGTTCTCATGGGTCAAACTTTCAAGAAACCTCTAGTCTGCATCATCAAAGAGCTTGGAAAGCCAAATTTTGAGGACAATACTTTTGTTTTATTTTTCTATAATGCAGTTATAGTTAAATATTGCATAAACTAGAAATAGTGAAGAAAATCAGATTTCTAATTGCTTACTAACAAGGAAAAATTAATCTTATTTACTTTTATTTACTTCTGTGCACATCAAGACTGATACACCTTAACAATGAGTATTGCTGGTAAACTAAACTGAATTTGTGAACCACAAATTAAAACCCAACCTTCCAAAGAAAACAAAGTAAACTGAGAAATATCTAATTAACTAATAAAAGACAGGAAGGAGAACAATTTCCATTAGTTATACTATAATGGAGACCAGTATTACTTTGGTTCATTGGCAGTGCAAGAACTTTGTGAAGGAGATAAAAGAGCTAAAAAACAGGATGGATTTGTAGGGGGTGGGGGGAATTGGGATCTCCTCCTCACACAGGGTGCCTCACAGTCATAGGTACATCCCACCAATAACACTAAAATATGCAAGATGTTCCAAATGCACGGTAGAATGTACCTGTGAGTCGGTGTAAGACGCCATATGTGAGGAGCAGATCTGGTCTCTTGGGGTGGGGGTCTCTTGGGTATAGGACATCTGAACCCATTGGATGATGACAAAAGTAAGTAGCCATAATCAAACTTCCCATCAATTACTCCAACCACCCAGCAATGAGCAAGCTCTGAAAAAAGTATGAACATGGTGAGCATGTCGAGCCTGTTGCCTACACATACAACAGAAAATGCACATGCTAGAAAATAAACATAAAAGTTTGTTTCTAACATATAGCTGATAAACTTTCTAGAAGCCTTTTCAGTTTACATGCTCACCTCATATTTATATATCTACAGCTTTCCCTTTTTCAAAATCTGTTTTTGATCGGTATTTCCTCTCTCCAAATATTTTATGCCAGTGACTCTAAACTTCCTACTTTTCATATATGATACAACTACTTTAGTAGTGATGAAATTAGTCTCCAAAAACCTCAGTGTGTGCAGTTTCTGATGTATGAGTTGGTCAATTATAAGTTTTGTTCTACGAGTATCAATGAATTGTATGGATGCAATCTCTGTGGTCAATTTGAAGAGTAACACATTTAAAATAGTAAAGCAAAAACATGTAAAGGCCTTAAATTCATGCGAAGCCCAAGTTTCTAAACACTATCTATCTTTGAGGTCTTAATTGCTTTTCTGATTTGCCTAGTAAAGCAAAAACAGATGCAATGAGTTTAATTTGATTATATTTTTAATTATTATTTTATTAATTTTATTACTACTAAAATTATATTTTTAATTATTAAAATTAAAATTATATTTTTAACTTTTTAACTTTTATTATATTTTTAATTATTATTTTTCTTAATTTTATTATCAATACTAATTTTTATTATTAGTAATGTTTTTTATTATTTTGGATGAATATTAATTTTTAATTATCTTACATATTTTATTTTTTAATTATATTACTATTAATTTTCTTATCACATGTTACATTAATTCATATTATTGATTTGCATTTTGCTTAAAAACACCAATAAATATTACTCTTGATTGACGGCGTAGATCACCTCACATTGTGTATATGAGATACACGGAATCAAGTAAGCTTGGAGTGGATATAGGGCAAGGTATATGTTAGGTTTAGTTTGGAAGGAATACAAATACAAATATGTACAGTACAAATACATACAAAATACACAAATTTGCAGTCTACATATTTATATTTGTACTCCATCTAAATTGAGCCTTAGGTCCACAGACCACTACATTCTTATTTTTGTTCTAATATTTAAGAGGAGATAGAGTTTTATAAAATTGCATTCCTTTTATTTTATTTTTTATT